TCCACCTCCATTTCTTCCTGCCTACTTGTTGCACAGTTGATTCCTGCTGGGTTGGTTCGCTCATTGCCAGAGATCCCTGTTTCTGATCTTTTCTGGCCGGCCAACTGATCTTGAGCGATATATTGAGCGAAAGTAGCTGTTAATGAAGGTCTGAAGTTTGTCTGAGATGCTCTTCATGACGCTTGGTGCAAGTCTCTGATCCATCCGTATAGTAGCACTGACTTCACATTGCAGTTGAAAATCCGAATCTTATTTTCGATGCTTAAGTTTGTGTGGAGGTCAACAGCACTCAGTATCAAAAATAAGATCCAGATTTTCAACTGTGCACTGCAACACTGCAGTGAACTTACTTTTGCCAAAATTGACAAGTAAATTTCAACAGCTCTCAATAAATAACAGAATGCCGAACAATACTCACAACTTAATTTTGTGAACTTTTAGCTGACTGAGCGCTTGTAATCTAACACTGAATGTGCAAAAAAATGTCATAATTGTTTAGTTGTGTGTGTGTGTGTGGCGGCGGGGGGGGGGAACAATCAGTCTGTTCACAGAGTTTTGATTGTTCTACAAAGACACGGAAGATGTGTAAAGAATATTTTTTTTTATAAAAAATCACCTTTTTAATGTACATTTACTTATGTGATGCAATATCTGAGATGAGAAGACAAAAAGTGAGTGTCTTTTGATCTTTAAAAGGTTTGACTACAGAAAAGAATGATGCATTTTTTCTTGTTCCTCGAAGTGTGTGATAATCATTCAATCGTTCGTAGAATAGAATGATTTGCGCCTATTTTTTTTTATTGGAAAAAGGTGAATTAATCTCAGTCTCCTTTGAAGTAATTGGTGATTAAGTGCTTTGTAATTCTTCCTATCTCTGGTGTAATCGACTGTTAAATTCTAATTAGTACTGACATATTAGGATTTAGATTTGTGAAAATATCTTTTTCAGTCGGGATCTTAGTCGACTGAATTGTTAATATGATTTGATTTGAGCGACTTCAAACAGAAGTGATGTCAACTCAGAAGAGCATTTGATAAAGGCATTGATGTAATGTAATTATAACTTATAGATGATATTTTATTGCTATACGCTTGCGTTAGGACCACTGACGTAAGACGCAGGTATACGTCCACAAAGGTTCAGTTAGCTATTAATATTTAGTCATACAATGCTTCCACAGAATACATTTTTCTGCAGAGTGAATAAAATTCTCACTTTCATTGTATAACAACATTTATTTCCACTTGTCTCGTGAAATAGATATTTGAGACTAGAAGATGTTCTGAGAGAACAATTGTGGTTTCAATAACTTCTTCTTCAGGCTGTACTGTTATAAATCGAAGAATATCAGAATACTTGAAAATTACTCGCATGCTCATTACTAACTGGTTCTATTCAGGCAGTTAACCTTGCGTTCTGATGGGAAGCTGTCACCGATAGGGTACAACAGGTCGAAGGTGAGGCACTAACCCATGGAAGAAGACATTGTGGAGTGATTGCGCTACGTCATAAATTGGAAGAAGTTGAAATTCATGAATTGGCCATTGGATCGATTCCCAATGGCTTAGTGGCCTACGAGATCGCTAGCCTTGTAATCGGAAGGTCCTAGATTCGAACCCCTATGGAGTTCAAAACTAAGCTGACGAAATAGCTCGCTGTCCAGTACTCCAAGCTGGTTTTCCAGCGGTCCTCTGACTGATGTCAGTTAAATTGTGCTCGAAACGTGGTCATCTGTAAATGTTACTGTATAACAAACTGTGTGATTTTATTAGCATAAAATTTTATCCATAATGGAGTTGTAGTCTACCACAGTGCCGAAAAATTCCATTTTATAAATTTGAGCAGAGGTAGATCAAAACTTTGGTGCAGAATAACATTTGTCTACTTTAACTAGTTGATTCTCATCAGCTGCGTACAACCTATAATCCTTAGTAAAATGTTTAGCATACTTTGATCTATTAACAGGCATGTTGTAAGAGCCTCATAGTTAGATAAAGTAACAGAATGATTAGGTAGCTGAAGTGTTATAGTGTAAATATATCGATTATGTCAGAAAGAAGTTTCGCGAAAATTAATCGACAAATTTGTTGATAGGGCGGTAAAAAAATCGTCAACAGTAAAGTAATTGGATAAGAGAAGATTAGAATTTAGTTTGAAAGATGTCAAATGAAAGGACAGCAATCTAATACGGTGAGTGGAATCCATAAGGTCAGGAATACTTATCTCTTATGGACATTGAACGGGCTTAAAGTGTGGATTGAAAATGTAAGTTAATATAATTAGAAAACAAAGAGTTATTAAGGCATGAGTTACCACGGTCACTGAGTCCAACGACAGATTCCTTTTACACATACTAGTCAGGTTTTAGCAGTTTTATTGCGACGACTTCAGAAGACCGGATAAGATTTGAGTTACTTTGTCTATTAATTATTTTGAATGAAGCTAACACGTCTACTCGGTGTTCTCTGTCTATCATGTGTTTGATGACTGGAGAGCTGTTTGGCCCGTTTAAGCAGAGGAGCCTTGATACATTTTTGAAGAATCTGACGTAAGTTGTTCTTTCTGTTCTTCCAATGTAACTGCTATCGCAGATACATGTGAATTGGTATTCACAGGTAAAGGTAACACATGAGATTTACTTGCCTATCTTTAACTGAACAAACGAAGAGGACGTTTAGAGTAGATAGATTGGTTTGCTGCAGTATACGTTCTAGACGGGGAGGCACCTAACCTTTGATTTATGATTCTCATAATATCATAGCCCCAGAAGTAGAGCTCAGTCAAAACTGGCTTCTTCCGTTCATTCTTGCCACATTTGTTAGTGAAGCCTTGGGAGTACCCATTTTCTTTCAAGCACTTGTCAAGTAACATTAGTTCACTTTTTAATTTGACAGGTGAACGCATTCTTTTCGCTCTAGAGATAAGGATTGTCACCAGCGTTCTTTTGTAATTGACTGGGCTGAAGCTGTTCAAGTCTAGGCAGATATCACTCCATGTGTCTTCGTGATCTCTTGAATGTCGTATCTGTTTTTCTCCCCAAGTTTATCTAGAGGAAATAGAATTTTATGTGTCTGTTTCTTTGTGTCCCATCGTGAAGGTGATACTCTTATGTACATTGTTGAATCGTGACTCAAATCAACGCATACAATGAATAGATCGTCTACTTATCGACAAAAAGGCAGTTGTTTCATCGACTGCACACTTGGTTTTTGTCTTTTCTAGACTAGCCATAAACATATCTGCTAACACAGGACCTTGTGAACTCCCCGTAGCCACGGCATCAGCCTGGCGATATATTTTGTTGTCATATTGGAGTTGTAGTGAAGATTTGTAGCTCAGGTGGATGATTTGCAATTAATAGTGTTCTCTGAGCTGGTTGGTTTAGTTGCGGAGTTTTTGTTGTCCTTCTAGACAACATCTACAGCGCAAGTTTTAGCATAAAGGGAAATGATTTAAATTTTTTCCATGAGTGATAGAACTGCGTCTCCGGTAACCATCTTTACATATGTATTGATCATTTTCTATTGACTTGGATTTTAAACTTTCTCGTCACATGATTTACTTTTTATTGGTTGGTATGTTTCGTCAATTCGAATTAGAATCCAAGAACACAAATCAGTCGTGAAAAGACACGATATATGTTCTTTAGTATCAGTGTATGTAGACAATTATGGACATCAGTTTGATTGGGATAAGATGTCGAGATCTTAGACAGAGGAAACACCAAAAGTGCAGTCAGGGAATTCCTAGAAGCCTGGTTGGTGCTCAAACGAATATGCAATTAACAAACACGTTAAAATAGACCAGATATACCAACTAATAAAAAGTAAATCATGTGACCAGAAAGTTTAAAATCCAAGTCACTAGAAAATGATCAATACATATGTAAAGATGGTAACCGAGAGACGCAGTTCTATCACTCATGGAAAAAATTTAAATCATTTCACTTTATGCTAAATATTGTGCTGCTGATGTTGTCTAGAAGGACGACGAAAGCTCCGCAACTAAACCAATCAGCTTATAGGACACTATTAATCGCAAATTGGAGTTGTATATCCCTAGTAGATAACACGATAAGATGCTTAAATTCCAGTTTTGACTGAGGAAGCAAATCCGCATGTTGATAGATGATGTCTAACATTTCACGAAGTGGGATCTGTGTGAATAGAGAAGTCAAGTCGAAGGAGATCGTGAGTTTAACCTATACGTTAAGTTGACTCACTTCTTTAAGGAACTGGGGAGAATCTTCCAAAATATTTTTAGTTAGTCGTTGTGTAACAGGTCCCAACTTATCGGTTAATCAAGGAGCAACTTTGTTTGGAAGGATAAATTCACTACTGAAAGTATAGATCCCATTGGGTAATTATTCTTATGTATCTTTGGCAGACCACACATATATAGTAAACGGGACCCTTTGGGCTTTAAATCATTGTAGCTGTGATTATCAGTCGCTTCCTTTTTCCACAGATTTCTGAGTACTTCTGTGACATTCATTCCTGTCAAATCCGTCAGATCCTTCTTGTGGTTACTAATCTAGTGCTTTGGCGGGTAGCAACCTTAGCAGACATAAACAAAGTCAATTTTGATTTTTGTGTCGATTGACTGGACCTAATTGCTTAGCCTCTGTTGGCATGTTGGCTCCTAATACAGAGGCTTCGATCATGTCTGAGGTTTAACGTGAAGCTATTCGGTGGATTGTGAATAGAAGTGGAATCCAGGGTGTGTAAAGGGCATCCGATGCACAAGAGGTGGTTCTGACTACCAAATTGGTCTAGTGGGAAATGCTTTGGGGTTTGAAACAATGGGCACTGGGTTCAAGTTCCTATGGGAACAATATCAGTCACTGGGGAGTGCAAGTGCATTCAACTGACGAGTCCCAAGTAGAACGAAACGTGCATGTAGGATACCACTGCTAATCACCACTCACCAAATATCAGAGACAATTTTTTTAATAAGCCTTATTTTTCAGATTCATCATTAAGTTTTAATTAATTTTCAGCAGGTATGAAATTTTTCCGGGACCATCTAAACGAATGAGTGGAATGAGGTTCGAAGAACTACTTCGTCTTCAAAAGTTGAAAGATAGTGCAAAATGGCTTGAAGAGCTGTAAGTGAAAATGCGTATTTCTTTATGTTTGCAATTTACAGTGTAAAACATTATATTCAGCCAATAAAATTTTAATTTTTTTTATCGTTATCATCAGTTGAGCACCGCAACAAATGTACAGGGATTTCCAAGGCAAATTGTTAAAATAGACAGTATTGAACGGTTAACCCATGAAGAGAGGTAATAATCTGTTGCTGAACAATTTCCGCCAGATGACTAGAAGAAATCGACAGGAAGCCTTTTACTTAGGTCTAGTGCTTGTTGGCTGTCAACAGTCATCAAGGCTTATCTACAATCTTGAAGGAACTTCTCTTCCCTCTGGGATCCGGTCCTGGGTCATCCAGTGTTGCAGTCAGAGAAGTTACCACTTATCTATTCAGGCTAGACATTACTGGACACACAGGCTGATTGATCATAAGGGGGTGAATAGTCAATAGAATAACTTCGTTCACTTCATATTGTATTAACGTGACTGTGATATACAATCTTTGCAATGATCTCAGATCATCCGTCTTTGAATAACTTGTATTACTCACAATTGGTTGTCATTTATTACTAATAATGTACGTGAGTTGATGCATTTTTTTGGATTAAAGCTCGATTCCGTACTGTATTTTTGAAACAAGTATGGAATTTTTCTGATTTTGCGTCAGTGGCATAACGGTTAGGACGCTCGCCGACCATGCATATGGTCTGGGGTTCGATCTCCGGCCACCGACGTACTCCTTTATCTCACTAAGCCATAAATAATTCTGGTAAAGAGGAAAGTTTGGGCATGAGGCTAGTAACCCCATCCTGTTAAGTAAACACTGCTACAGAAACTTCAAGCCACTAGACTGAAACCCTATATTCCACTGGGGAACGTGAAGGAAAGAAGTATGGAATTTTCAGCATGTGATGCCGGTAGCCCAAATTTTTACAGGCCAACCATTGGCATCAGGTGTGTGTCGGCCAGGGGTGGAAACCCGACTATTTGCATGGTCGGCTAGAGTCCGAGACGCTGTGCAACCGACCCACTATGATGCACTAAGTTGGCTTCTTAATGTAAGGTGATTTAACGACAACCATTGTCAGTGTTTCAGTTGTACAATATTTTCCAGCCACGTATCTGCTCCAGGTTCGATTCCCAGCTGACGGATGCACCTCTAAATCCCATTAGCTTGTAGCTAGCCCATTAGATAGGGACGGATGAGTTTGGGGATGGCGAACCTTCCCGCCAATAGCAACACAGCTGTTAACGGAGATATAATGCTCATGCTTCAAGCCATTTATTCCACTCGAAACGTGTGTAGAGGAATAAAAGCAAAAAAAAACAGCAAATTTTACTGATCATGGGAAATTTGTGAATTTTTCTCTCATACATCTGATACCAAGACAACAGAATTGTGATACTTAACCCCCTTTAATGTTATTAAATTAATGAAGATTTTGTTTGAACAGGACTATTGTGTTTCTCATAAAATTATTCCTTTCACCTTACAATAGTTGTTGTAAAATATTATTATGTTTCCTAATTTATTTGTTTATTTATTTCCCATCCATCCATCATGTGTATACAGTGGGAAACGTGGTTACACCAATGGGGTAAACTCATGGGCTGATGAGGAATATCACTGAGCTGGGCGCGAGACAAAAAAACAATTAGAAACAAGCAAAAAAACAAACAAAGAGACAATATGCCACTGACCAACTAGAAATGTTAATCAGACAAAAAAACAACAACAAAACAAACAACATTATATTATTTTGTTGTACTTTTAAAATATATTTACCAAAATATATATTTTGAGAAGAAAGAGAGTAGTGTTTATGTGTTTGAACTGTTAACAATTTTGATGTCTTATCTTATTTCATTATTTGATGTTATATTATTATTGTTCTCTTGGGTTCCTAGTGGAACATACGGCTTCAACTCCACGTCTCCACTTCACACCTGCATCTATGTTAGTCCATACTCTTTCAATCCTCTTCAGACGATCTCCTCCATGTCACCCTTGGAAGTCCCGCATGCCGCTTCCCTTTCGGTTTCCACTCGAGGGCTTGACGCGCGATGTCACCCAGCGGTCTCCTCAGCAAGTGACCGATCCATCTCTACTTTCTCCTGCATATTTGTTGGTTGGCGATTGGTTCTTGCTTTGTCTGTTCCCATAGTTCCTTGTTGGTGATTCTTTCCGATCCGGCCATCTGATCTTCAGTATAGAGCCAACGAAGACAGTTGTTAATAAAGGTCTGCAACCTTTTGGAAAGATTCTTTGTGACCCACCCGCCAAGTTTCTGATTCGTATAGAAGAACTGACTGATTTGACGTTTGTATTGAAAATCCGACCGAATTTTGTTGTGATGCTGAGTGACGAAGATTTCCAGATTGGTTGGTTTCGGGTTGATGAATGTGTTTCTCGCTCGCCTTCCCCATTCTCACTCGATTTGACATCCTTGTCCTTTCCTCGTGTAGTTGAGACAATGCTCAGTGCTAGATAAGTGAGTGAATGAAGTAACTAACCTCTTCCAAATCCCTCCCGTTGATGGTGATTAACTCTGGATGTTGCTGCTGCTGTTGTTTTTGTTGTTGGCTGGTTATTTCATAACCTCCGTCATGTCTATGTTCACCTGGAGTCCTGTCTTTGCCGGCTGCTTCTTCGACCAGTTTGTCGGTTTTCGCCCACTTGTAAGTTTTTGATTTTGTGTGACATCAAACATAAATCATCCACGCGCGAAGTCTGGGTCTATTAGGTTCTTAGGGTCGGTCCAGGATGTCCCTGTCTTCTCGTTTCCCACTCACAGTCTGACGCATAATCCAGTCAGTCCACTACAACTAGGAATATCATTGGTGATAATAAGCACCCTTGTATGACTCCTGTGTTTACTCCAAACGCCTCGCTGAGTTTCCGTTGTGGATCATTTGACATGTTCCGTTGTCGTACAGCTGTTGAATAAGGTTGATGAATACTTGGTGCAATGTACGCCGTAGTACTCGAGTAATTTCCAAATTACTTCGCGGTCAACGCTGTCTATTGAAGGCCTTCTCAAAGTCTATAAAGTTGAGGTAGAGGTTTGATTGCCATTCCACGCTTTGTTCTGTGATGATGATGCGTAGAGTTGAAATTGGTCAGTACATGATTTGCTTTTCCTGAATCCAGCTTGTTCTGGTCGGAGTTCTGTATCCAGTGCGTCCTTTGTTCCTTTCAGGATGATGCGTTAAAGGGGTAATTTGTCACTTAATAGCATTGACTGTCTGGCTGTATGTCAGCTCACTTACATTTGCATCATTGTGAACTTGCGAGGATTATATCTCCCAATTTCAGTCAACTGCACCTCATACTTAGTGGACAAACTAGCTGGTACTTGTAGCGTTATAATTATTTTCCTTGTGTTCCGAGCGAAATATAGGTTCTGTTCTCTGAAGTCCCTTTTTGGTTGTCTACAAGACTGAACATAAGCCTTCATCCCCTTCTCCTGACACGATTTCCTTCAAGTCACTGCCTGACACACACTCAACTCCTCGTTCCACATGTGGATTACGCTCTTGGATTAGACATAATGGTTTCCTCAGTGCGTGTATGACTGACTTGCCATTAGTATTGAAAATGCCAATCTTTTTGTTTGTGTAGTATGTAGTAGATTTGTAAACTGACTTCAGACTAATGAAAGCATCCTGGATGGTGGATGACACTTTCACAGTGTTAAAAACAGAACATATCTCCCCTCTAGCTTCTTGACACATATAAACTCATTGGTAGAGGGAATTAAATCCACATTTGAATAGGAAAATGAGTTACACTGCAAAATAAAATGAATAGAAAAGGTAAACTACACATAGTGTTTATAAAATGCCAACGCATTCCACTAATAGATATTTAGACTTTAATGCATCTCATCCGTTATCTGACTGTGAAGGCAGGCTGAGTTAAGTGTCTATCAAACCGAGCCATAGCACAACGTAGCACAAAAAAAGACCAAAATTACGAAATAAAACAGATAGAAGAGATGTTGGTGTCAAATAACTATCCTTTAAAATTCATTAGGAAGATCGAAAAAGGCCAAAAAAAAACAGAAATAATTGTGAAACTAGTAATAATAACATAAATAAGAGAGAATACAAGTCATTCACTGTTATACCATATAAGGAGGGGACATCTGAGACCCTCTCTACGTAGGACTCTTAATAAATCAGCAATTAGGATGGCTAACAAACCTACGAACTCACTCAGGGACAAGATCTGTAGGCTAAAAGACCGGTGGACCCAATTAAACAAAATAATATAATTTAAAAAATACCTCGCAATGACTGTGTATTAAGTCGACTGTATAGGTCAAACTAGTAGATCAGGGGTAATCAGTTTTGTCGGAACATAAGAATTTATCTAGTGTCAGAATGGTTGATCCGAGAAGATAAGTAATTTAGAAAAAAGCTCCGTGATTCCACTGCATGCATTAACAAACAACCACACAATAGGGTGGGAGAGCGTTAAGATTCTCAGAAGTAATCTATGTAGGTGGAGAGAGAGAGATTGATTACTGAATCCTGCCTGCTTCATCGAGTCTACACCCAACACGACACATGCAACAGAAATGACTCAGTGTAAATACCAGAAATATGGAAAATACTATTACCGCCAGTCAGCCAAATCAGAGGAGGATAATAAATAATCTTAAAATTCTATTTCAATTCAAGCGCATCACAACATTCAAAAAAGTTACTTATTATGACTATTAAAACACACGTCGTATTTCCCATCTGATTGTAATTGATCAATAACACTCATATTATTATATCTGAATGCACTTTATCACATGTGTGCGTCGGTGGCACAGTGGTTAGGACTCTCGCCGACCATGCACATGGTCCGGGGTTCGAGCCCACGCCGACGCACACTTGATATCTATGGTCGGCCTGCGAAATTTGGGCTACCGATATCCACGCTGAAAATTCCATACTTGTACCAAAAATACAGTGTGGAATCAAGCTGTAATCAAAAATAAATAAAAAATTGATTTTTATTTACATATCTAGTCAATTCCACACATGTATATAAATGAAAGAAAAAAGTTGTATGAGTAACTTGATACGAATGTGAGCAGTAATTTGTGGTCGAAACGTGGTCATCATTTAATATTACTGTGGAACACTGTGTGACACTTTATCAAAATAAAGTCTTGTTCATAATGGAGTTCCGCCGTACCACAGTGCCCAAGTTTTATACTTATATCCTGAATGGCTTTGACATACTTATCCGTGCCGACTGCCTCTAGTTGAAACTATGCTGTATAAGAAAGTGAAAGAGTCAAGTTAGTTTAAATTTTTCCTGCTAACGGTGACTGGCGCTTGTTGTTGTTGTTGTCGGTAGCCATTGGGAATCTTCATTACCTTTATCTTATCTATGTTTACCTGAAGTACCGTCTTCGCTGGCTATTTCCGACACCAGCTTGTTGGTTTTCAACTTCACGTATTCGAGTTGATATGACATAAGAAATAGATCGTCCATGAAATACAGATGTTGTTGGATCTTTTGTTGAGACAACATATACCTGTCTTCTCGCATCATACAGTTTACCTCATTATCACCACAATCAGGAGATCCTGGGTGGTCTGCTGTCTTCACTTCCGTGTCTTTCACTATGCATCACTGGACATCTGGTATCATCATATTGGTGTTGAATGAGGCTTATTAAGGTTCAGGATACTCTGTAGTGTGGAAGCAGTTTCCACATTACTTTGTGGTTTACGTGATCGAAGTGGGTGAAAGAATTGATTTCCTTCGAATATCTTCTGGCCATAGTGGTTGATGCTGATTATTTTTACGGTAATGTACCCTCAATCATTCCGTCTCCACTATATTCCTGTGTAATATGCTTACGTCTTGGATTATGACTGCGGATCTTCAAGATCTTGAGATACTAGACATAAGTCCTCAAGAAGTTCAAATATTCCAGGTTCTTCTTATCAGATGACAGATAGAATGCTTCTTTCTCTCTCCTCACGGTCTATTGAATAATACAGTCGTCAACCACAGTTAGAATATCTTCGGTGATAGTAGACAGCCATGTCTTACTTCTGTCTTGAATTTCAAGGTATAGCTCATTTTTATATCGCAAACCAGGTGATAATTACAAATTTTACTAATTGCAAGTACTGGATTTTGTTTGATTGGTTGGAGGATTTCATCATAAGCTGACATCAGTTACAGGAACATCTGAAAACCTGGGAGTACTGTACAGTCAGTTGTTTCGTGGGCCCAGTCTGGGACTCTTCGTCAGTATGCACTTACCATAGAAGGTTCGAAACTACGACCTTCTGATTACAAGGCTAGTTAGCTCGTAGACATTAAGGCGCTGGGTCATGATTCAACTGATGTGATGCTCACTAGCCACAGGTCTTATTCAGGGAGTTAACCTGAAATTCAAGTGGGAAGCTGTCACCAGTAGGGTGCAGTAGATTAAAGATGAGGTAGTAACTCAGCGAAGAAGATATTTCGAAGTGGTCGAACTAAGTCATGAATTTGCAGAAGTTAGAATTCATGCACTAGTCATTGGATCTGGTCCCGGTGGTTTAATAATTGCCTTAATTGACTTGCGAAAATTATGTTTAACTACATTGAAAATTACAATACTAGTAACAATAATAATCACTTTATTCCAAACAATAATAATAATTTGCTTTATTCCAAAACAGTACTTGTGACACAGAATGGAATTCTCAGCATTTCACTACACTATTGCATCCAGTTTGTACATTAACAATAAATAAAGTTCTACACATATTAGGGCAATCTCAGTTAGTTTTGACAACAACATATTGG